GGGGCGGTGGCGGTGGAGGGGGCGGGGCAGCGAGCGGACAGAGCGCGGAGGCCATCGGCGACGCCTTCCAGTCCATCGCGGAGGCGCTGGCGCAGATGCAGGAGGCCATGTGGACCATGGAGCAGAAGATGCAGGGCACCGAGGACACGGTGCGCGCCATCGCCTCCAGCCTCAAGGCCGAGGGGCAGATCGTGCAGAAGCTCGAGGAGAGAATGGAGGTATGACTAGCTGGACAGGGGTGGCTTTCGAGTAGGGTTAGATGGACATCGTGAAACTCGAGAAACACAGTTTAAAAAATCTGTGTCATGTATTCAGTTGTACTGTACACATTGCACTCACTGTGTACTTACACAAAACAAATGTATTTTAATTCAAATTGTACACTACAGAATCATCAAACTGGATTCGATTTCGCTTCTACATTTGTATTATGCTTTTGCTCAGAGTATCATTAATCCTTTGAAGTTGACACTGATAACTACTAAACCTTACTCATTGTAAGGACAAACTCATCTAGGTTAACACCAGAATTCAGACTTTCAGAGGTCTCCACAAAGTCATGTGCGTGGCGGTTCCTTAGCTAAGAGCTATCAGCTCTGGGATTTGTCAAGTGAAGAGGTATTCGATATCTCTGCGATTGGAACGAATCTCGTTTAAATTGCCCCCTAGTAGCACGAAAACCACAGCGGATTCCGACCGGGACCATTCGAATGAAGTCCAGGTGATTGCCTTTTCTTGAAATATTACAGCACATACTTTGCTTTAACAATGTGAGAAAAACTAGGGAAAGGCGTTTCCAATTACCTTTCTAGACTAGGACTGTGCTCCTAGAGAGAAAAGTCTAGAAGAGACTTCTAATAGAAAGCATATGTACACATATGGAAAGGTATTAGGATGGTAAATATTTAGTGTTAATATTTTTCGTAATATTGTGCTATAATATCGACATTAGGCAACCATAGGGATGAAAAAACACTCCTAAACATAGGCAGACGTAAAAACTTGTACCGTTCGCCGTACGTTACATTCACAAAACAAATTATTAAGTTATAGTACGTAAAATATGGTCTAAGAGTACTTACACTCAAAGCAATAGGATTTATTTATATTATATTTTTAATAAGTAGGAAATATTATGAAAGTGCTGAACGACATAAAACCGATATATTGGAAAAGGGGGTCTCGTCAATCTCGGCGGAAATTGTATAACGGTTAGCGTATCGGACTGACAAGTTAGCGGGTTCAAACTCGATCAAAGCCGTGGATTTAAAAAAAATCTTTCTTCGGTGGGACAGTAAAGCCGGTTGCCCCATGTAGTAGATATAATTGCATGGAAAAGATCCGCAAGCCTAAATGACGCCTCTAAGCTAAATTCAAATCGCCTGTTTCGTCGCCCAAGAAATATCTCCTTTCTTCGCTAGTTGGTGAAAGGAGCGTAGACGAATTTGCGTGGCCAGACAGAAGAGCGTGCCTCATGGCCCGAGTACCGCCACGGAAAATAAGGCATCAATTCAAAATAAATCTCAGCTCACGAATATAAATATATATTCAATATAAATGTCACCTCATTTTACGAAGTTCAACGGGTGGGATCTTTGCTCTGTATGGGCTTAATGAGATTCGTAACTTATTTACCAACATTATGGAAAGTTAAGGGTAGAATCGTGAGATGTGCGCGTTCGATAAGTATTCCTGTTTTCAGTACGTGATACATTTTGCGTCCTGGATGAAGTATTAACTTGTTCCGTTGGTGTGTCCGCAGGTGGTAGAACGGCGGCTGGACTCGTGCACGGAGCGAGAAACGGCGTCGTACTGCACCTCGTCCGCGTCGGCCAGCGGCGGCGGGGGCGGCGGCGTGGGAGGCGGCGGCGGCGGTGTGGGCGGCGGCTCCGCGCCCGCGTCCGCCTCCAGCGCCACCTCCTCCTCGTCGTCGTCTTCGTCGTCGGAGCGTCGCCCG